TATAACTTGGCACACAAGTAGACTACACTAAGATACATAATTCTGTGTATCGGTTTTTGATTTTGATGAACGGTGTTGCCGTGGTTACTAAAAATAGAAATTTCTGTGAAATTCTTTCAAAATGCTAATTCTCCTACAGTTTTGGTTTGATTTCATTATAACTTGGCACACAAGTAGACTACACTAAGATACATAATTCTGTGTATCAGTTTTTGATTTCGATGAACGGTGTTGCCGTGGTTACTAAAAATAGAAATTTCTGTGAAATTCTTTCAAAATGCTACTCCTCCTACAGTTTTGGTTTGATTTCATTATAACTTGGCACACAAGTAGAATACACTAAGATACATAATTCTGTGTATCGAATTTTAATTTTGATGAACGGTGTTGCCGTGGTTACTAAAAATAGAAATGTCTGTAAAATTGTTTCAAAATGCTACTCCTCCTACAGTTTTGGTCTGATTTCAGTATAACTTGGCACACAAGTAGACTACACTAAGAACATTAAGAGACTTTATCAACGATCATTATTCTATTTAGTTTCAAATCCCAGCTGCTTAAGTACTTTTCTCTTCCTTTGCTATAAGTTCAAACCAGTAGAGCTTCAGTCTCGACAGAGACTTCTGGTTTATGAGATGATGTAAATATATCTTAACATCATGTCAATGCTGCATTACATGACGTAAATACATCCTTTCATTATGTCAGCACTTCATAACTTGAAGTGAAAAATTCATTATGTGAAGTGATAATGTGTTTACATTGTGTTAAAACTTTATTGCATGATATGAATTTTTCTGTACATCATTTCATTTCTTAAATATGTGAGGTCAAAATTGCATTACGTCAAGTAAATTGTGTTTTATAATTAAACTTATCATTACATGAAGTCAAAAGCCCATTCCTTTTTGAGAGTGTATATTTCTATTACATCAAAGCATTACTACGTGATATGGATGTATCTTTATCTTACGGCGAGGGCATCATGATGTGAGGTGAACACATCGTACCTTTATGTCAGTGCTTTATTACGTGGTGTAAAAAGTGTATAACATAATGTGAACATATCTTTATATTACATCAATACTTTATTACATTATGTCAAAACTCCATTCCGTGATGTGGATATATAATTACGTTATGTCAACTCTTTCTTATGTGATTTAAAAATATCTTTATATTGTGTTAACTCTTTATCATGTTGATTCCAAAAGTTCATTACCTGATGGTAAAAAAACATTTACATTATCTCAAAGCTGTATATCTAGTATATAATGAATGTTGACGACCGTGTTTTAATGACTGGTAAGAAAGGAGGGGGGGGGGGGGGGGGGCCTGATTGATTAGGACAAATTACAGGCACATAATAGCAACCCCCCCTCTTTTCCCAGAAATAACTTTACTATAGAAAATGTAATGTTCATTGAAACTGTACAGCCCCCCACCCCCACCCCCACTTTTTGTTGAAGTATAATCCACTATGGGTAATGTAATATATCTGGAAAAAAATAGGACTGATCGAAGTTGGACCCCTCTCCCCGAAACAGGATTTTTTTCGGGCTTGGACTTTTTTTTCTTGGCTTGTCAAGTTTTTTCGGGTAAATGATTTTTTTCTGGCTGACCTCCTCTTTCAAAAAAAGATGCTACGTCACTGGAGTTAGTATTTTTTTTAAATCATTCCAGGGCCAGACAAAAATCTACCAGTCGCTCATCTAAATCAATTGAATATGCCTTAGTAAGCATGCATGGGCACATATCAGTGGCAGATATGGGAATCTTGAACAAGGAAGGGGGCGGTATATGGGTGGAGACCAAGGGCGGAAAGCGGAGAAGCTCTCAGGCTTTATAGTTTTATAGAAAAAAGTTTTCAACTTAATTCAGCTAAGCTTATTGTGAAACTAATGCAATGTCCTTCAAAGGAGATGGGTGAGCTTAGCGTGCAAAAAACCCACAAGCTTCAGATATATAAAAATCATATTCAAATTATGATTTTAGTATTTAGAGTAAAGTTATCATCATTGATTTTTGTAAAATCATGATAAACAAAAAGTTTTGAGGAAAATTTTTCGCTAAAATTTATTCTTTTATAAAGAAAAATAATTTGGTATCCATTGGGTTCGAACCCTGGCAATAAAAATCCTGAGTTGCATTCTCTTTTGAGACTAGCAAGTTAACCAATATGCTACACAAGTCCTGATGAAGTGTGGCATTTAAATCATGTTTGTGATATGACCATTGGCTTAAGGGACTTCAAGTATTTCTCGAAAAGATACGAAAGTTATGTCATAAACTTATATTTTTAAGTGGGTCATTGCTCCGTAATTTTGGAAACCAAAATATGTATGTTTTTATGCAAACTTTGAGAATTACCTTTCAAAAAAATGGAGAGAAGACCCACTCATAACGAAAAATAGTGTTATAGTGTGAAAAAATGACTCGTTTTGTCCTCTTTCGTGTGTGTATAATATTTCATAGGCAAATAAATTCAATTTTCATGAGATTTGTGCAAGTTGTTCAGATTTTACATAAAGTATACTTTAATGTTAGATGAAATATTAAGGAAAATTTTGATAAAATTGAGATTTAATTTTTCACCTTTATGTTTGTCGCGCTATGGGCTTATCTCTCGTCATGTTCACCCATCTCCTTTAAGACTTTTATTTAAAAAAATTCAAAAGAAAAAGAAAAAAAATGATTGCTGCACGACTCATAATATTTGATTTATTTAATTATGAGATTAAAGTAAATACCATTGAATTTCGACGTGACTTTAATTCACAGTCGCAGTGTTAAGGCTTTGCACGTTTCAAGATTGTCAATCATTTGTCGCTTAAAATTTTCATTTAAAGATGTCATTCCCAAATCGCTTAGAATCTCTTCTACGACAGTTTTCTCTCCCGCCATTTTTAGTGCTTGCGGAACGCAGAAAATACGTTGTGCTCATATAAAGGCCGAGGATACCCGTGTTCGCATAACGTAATAGTGAATCGACATAATGTAGAAGAGTGCGCACAGTATGGCATGAGCTTTTCACATCAGTTAATAAAAACTAAGATCTCATGAAAAGTAAACATAACGAAATGCAAGTTGACGAAATATAATTGTAGTATGTGTAAATGTCATATAGAGTTGACATAATGTAAAGGAAAGTTAACACAATGCAATAGTAGTGTGGGTTAATGTCATAAAGAGTTGACATAATGTAATGGAAGGTTGACACAATGCAATAGTAGTGTGGTTTAATGTCATAAACAGTTGACATAAATAATGGAAGGTTCATATAATGCAATAGTAGTGTGGGTTAATGTCATAAGGAGTTGACATAATATAATGGAAGGTTCACATAATGCAATAGTAGTGTGGGTTAATGTCATAAAGAGTTGACATAATGTAATGGAAGGTTGACACAATGCTATAGTAGTGTTCTGCTATAAGGCAGTGACGGCGTTCCATAGTTTTGGTCTGATTTCAATATAACTTGGCATACAAGTAGACTATACTAAGATACATAGAATAGTGCATCGGTTTTTGATTTCGGTGAACGGTGTTACCATGGTTTCTAAAAATAGATTTTACTGTGAAATTCCTATAAAACGCTACGCCTTCTACAGTTTTGGTCTGATTTCAATATAACTTGGCACACAAGTAGACTACACAAAGATACATAGAGTAGTGCATCGGTTTTTAATTTCGATGAACGGTGTTGCCATGGTTACTAAAAATAGAATTCTCTGTGAAATTTCTTTAAAATGCTAATCCTTCTACAGTTTTGGTCTGATTTCAATATAACTTGGCACACAAGTAGACTACACTAAGATACATAGAATAGTGCATCGGTTTTTGATTTCGGTGAACGGTGTTACCATGGTTTCTAAAAATAGATTTTACTGTGAAATTCCTATAAAACACTACGCCTTCTACAGTTTTGGTCTGATTTCAATATAACTTGGCACACAAGTAGACTACACAAAGATACATAGAATAGTGCATTGGTTTTTAATTTCGATGAACGGTGTTGCCATGGTTACTAAAAATAGAATTCTCTGTGAAATTTCTTTAAAATGCTAATCCTTCTACAGTTTTGGTCTGATTTCAATATAACTTGGCACACAAGTAGACTACACTAAGATACATAGAATATTCCATCGGTTTTTGATTGCGATGAACGGTGTTACCATGGTTACTAAAAATAGAATTTTCTGTAAAATTCCTTTAAAACTCTACTCCTTCTACAGTTTTAGTTTGATTTCAAAATAAGTTGGCACACAAGTAGACTATACAAAGATACATAAAATAGTGCAATGGTTTTTGATAAGTACAAACCAGTAGAGCTACAGTCTCGACAGAGACTTCTGGTTAAGGAGAGTTTTCTAAAATTGTGTCTTGCTCAAATTTCCACTTGTACAGTTTATCTGTTGGTATGTGTGTTTTTTTTTTTTTAGATTCTCTATCAATTTAAGATAATATATATATATGTCTTTGATTAACAAGAATGTTCTGATGCATAATACAGAAAGTACTTTCATAGTTTTTGATGGACAGATAGACCTGTAGATGATAGAAAAATATAAAATGAGACAAACATATCTCAGCTCTGTATAAATGTATTCTTTTAGACCAAGAGGCCAATGAATAAGAGTATAAAATGGGTTATTAAATTACTCCATGGTCCTAAGCTTTATTGTAATATGTTTTGTTGGGTAATTATAGTGACAAATAATAAATGGGAGTGCTTGAGTGTTGGCGAGTAGATATAGATCTACTTTATGATTTATTTATCAATTACTTTATTCAAGTATTTTGTTGATCCCAGATCATTCTGTTTCTCTTATGTAAGGTCCTCTGGCCTCTTGTAAAATACTTGGATTTGCTTTACTGAATTTGGGCAAAAACTGGGAAATCAAATTAGATGTTTTAATTATCATGATGACAATTTCAGTTCTGGAAATCGCTTTCAGTTTGTATCCTTCTACTTTCAGTTTGTATCCTTCTACTTTCAGTTTGTATCCCATCCCCACTGCCAGCAGTTATTGACGTCCATTTGGTACGAGGGTCTGCCTGGGTGGAGAAAGAGGAATGGCCTGACCAAGTTCTTGCTATGTATGGGGCTTATCCTGATCGGTCCGTTCATGGCTGTATATTACCTGATCTTCCCACGGAGCAAGATAGGACAACTCCTGCGGAGTCCGTTTATGAAGTTTCTGTATCACAGTGCCTCGTTTGGGGTGTTTCTGATTCTCCTGGTGCTCTGTTCTACAGACATCAGCAGTCCCAGTGACCGAGGAAACATACGGGGACCGCCACCCTCGGAACTCGAGTGGCTCATATTCTTATGGGTGATGGGTCAGTGCAAATTCTTTCCAATTTGTTATTAAATTGTATTTTAAAAATGTAACAAAGTTTTGTTTTATGAAAGGTTGATTGTATTTTTAGGGTTTGTTTGGGCTGAGTGTAAACAGTTGTGGGAGGAAGGACTGAAGGCGTACACCAGACAGTGGTGGAACTGGCTAGATTTCCTGATGCTCTCGCTCTATATCGCTACGTTTTCTCTCCGACTTGTGGCGTACGTACAGATAGAATCAGGTAAATACGGAGACAGGGACATTCCCAGGAAGGACTGGCCCATCATTGATCCTACCCTTCTAGCTGAGGGGCTGTTCGCAGTGGCCAATGTTTTTAGCTTCTCTCGTATCATATTCTTGGCTCAGGCTAATCAACATCTAGGACCCCTTCAGATCTCTTTGGGATGCATGTTGATTGACATTGGGAAATTTCTCTTCATTTTCTTCCTGGTGCTGACATCCTTTGCGTGTGGAATGACCCAGCTCTACTGGTATTACTATAACAGTCGTGTTCCAGAGGACCCAGTGGCATTTGTATCGTGAGTTTTATGTTCTTATTTCTTAAGTTCTCTTGTATCAGAATTGTATTTCTGCCTTTTTAGGGTGCAAAACACAGTTTTATGTATGATGTTATCAGGACGTTACTTGGTGAGGGACAAGCAAAACTGACCACTATAAAAAAATAAAATGGAGGCTTGTTACATAGACTTCTGCATATCAATGGAAAGATAAAATTGTGAATTTTGTAAATATCCAACTATAATACATTCATCAATTACTACTAGGGGGTATTTGACACCTGAAATATGGGGGATATTGGGTTGTTTATGCATCCATTTTCAGTGCATCTATGCATTTTTAACCCCCCTGCTCAACAAAAACAGAAAAAATCAGACATAATAAGTTGTATGCATTTCACAGAACAAGTCCTAAGGTTTTCTTTTAGTGTGCTTTCAGGGTACATTTTCCACCTCATGAAAGAGCTACATTACCTGCTAATTGACTCATGCAATTCTGCACATGTGAAAACCGGATGTTTTGGGAGTTATCTCCCCCTATTAAAAAGTCTCATAAATTTTTTTTTCTAAAAATGAATGCACATTTTTTTCTTTAAATATTAAGATAAGATTCTACTTTATGTGAATAAAAACAAAAATGATGCAGTTTTCATCTAGACTCCTATAAATAGCAGGAAAATCCCTACCCAGCATGCTTCTCTCTGGGAAAAACCCCTTGGATTTTATACGAAACTGTGTTTAGCTACCTTAGCTCTAATGGTCAGAGACCAGAAGAGCTTATGCGATAGTAATGCGTCCGGCGTCCGTCCATCTGTCTGTCCGTCTGTCTGTAAACAATTTTTCAAAACGCTACTCCTACAATTTTAGTCTGATTTCAATATTACTTGGCACACAATTAGACTACACTAAGATACATAGAATAATGCATCGTTTTTTAATTTCGATGAACGGTGTTGCCATGGTTACTAAAAATAGAATTTTCTGTGAAATTCCTTTAAAACGCTACTCCTTCTACAGTTTTGGTCTGATTTCAATATAACTTGGCACACAAGTAGACTACACTAAGATACATAGAATAGTGCATCGGTTTTTGATTTCGATGAACGGTGTTGCCATGGTTACTAAAAATAGAATTTTCTGTGAAATTCCTTTAAAATGCTACTCCTTCTACAGTTTTGGTCTGATTTCAATATAACTTAGCACACAAGTAGACTACACTAAGATACATAGAATAGTGCATTGGTTTTTGATTTCGATGAACGGTGTTGCCATGGTTACTAAAAATAGAATTTTCTGTGAAATTCCGTTAAAACGCTACTCCTTCTACAGTTTTGGTCTGATTTCAATATAACTTGGCACACAAGTAGACTACACTTAGATACATAGACTAGTGCATCGGTTTTTGATAAGTACAAACCAGTAGAGCTACAGTCTTGACAGAGACTTCTGGTTTAAAAATTTTAGCTGGGTAATTTTCTGTTTATACTTCCAGGCTGGGGGAGAGCTATGCGACATTATACTGGTCATTGTTTGGGATCACAACAAAGCATGACCTCAGAATCCAGAATGGTCAAAACTTTACGGTGATGCTGGGCCGCTTGATGTTCATGTTATATCATTGTATGGCTATTATTGTACTCATTAACATGCTGATTGCCATGATGTCCAACTCTTTCCAAAATATTGAGGTAAATACAAACATGAAATTTAGTCCTCAAACTTAACAGAAGAGCTTTGCCCAATCAGAGGCTCTTTACTTGCAGATATATTCTAAATAGAAATTCTATTTTTAGCTCTTCTGAGCCAAAGGCTCAAAGAGCTAATACTATTGCCATTTGTGCGGTCTGCGTCGTGCGGTCTGCGTTAACTTTTTAGAATATGGGCCATAACTCAAGAACCCCTTGGCCAATCATTGTCAAATTTGTCACAGGGTATCCTTGGCCCAAGGGCTACCATTTATACTAAAACTAGGGGTGGGACCCTAAAACAAGGGGAGATAATCAGGAAAATGAAACCAAAAGTACTGGTTGCTAAAAAATCTTCTTCTCCAGAACCACCAGGCAGATTTTCACCAAACTTACATACAAGGGTCAGGATATGTTGAAGATTAAAAATTGTTCAAGGCATGACCCTGGGGCAAAGGGCGTGGTCTCAAGGTCACTTCAAAGTTGACAAAAATATACACTTAATAAAAACGTTGATATTTTGCTTACTATAAAGACTAGGATCATCAAATCTTGTAAGTTGATGCATCTCAGGACTTCACATCATGTTAATACAAAAGTAGGTCACGGTGACCTACTTTTTAAATTTTACGGGCTTTTGTTTTCAAATTGATTTTGAGGCATATTTTGGACACTTTAAGGCCTATGATCATAAAACTTTGTCAGTTGGTGCATCTTGGGTCGACAAACAACATCAACTTAAAAGTAGGTCATCGTGACCTACTTTTTGAATTTTATGGTTAATCTTTTCTAAAACATTTAGTCCCATTATTTCAGACACCGAGAGGTTTAGAATCACCAAATTTTATTAGTTGATGCATCTTGGGGCCTTAAGACATATTTATTAAAAAGTAGGTCACTGTGACCTACTTTTTGAACTTTGCAGGCATTTGTTTTCAAATTGTTTAAAAGGCATATTTTGAATACTATAAGACCTATGATCATCAAATTTTGTCAGTTGATGCATCTTTGGTCTTTGGTCGACCAAAAAGTAGGTCACTGTGACCTACTTTTGACATTTTATGGCTAGATTTAAGTATCTCGGGTACTTATTGGCTTAGAATCATCAAACTTTGTCAGTAGATGCATCTTGGGTTTTCAGAGAATGTTGACCAAAAAGTAGGTCACGGTGACCTACTTTTGACATTTTATGGTTATATTTAGGTATCTCGGGTACTTATTGGTTTAGAATCATCAAACTTTGTTATTTGAAGCATCTTATGTTCTTTGAGAATGATCATTGGAAAATAGGTCACGGTGACCTACTTGTGACATTTATGGCTATATTTAAGTATTCTAGGGTACGTACTGGCTTAGAATTGTCAGACTTTGTCAGTTGATGCACCTTGGGTTTTCGGAGAATGTTGACCAATTAGTAGGTCACTGTGACCCACTTTTGAATATCTCAAGTACTAATTGGCTTAGAATCATCAATCTTCGTCAATTAATGCATCTTGTGTTCTCAGAAAATTTCAATCAAAAAGTAGGTCACCATGACCTACTTATAGTATTTTATAGTTACATTTAAATATCTTAAGCCCTAAACTTTGCATCAACTTTGTTTCTTGCATCTTGGGTCTTAGGATAGATTGTATAATTTATCAGAAGAGCGATTCAAAGCCCTTGGGCCTCTTGTTTCAGAACCATGCTGATATGGAGTGGAAGTTTTCCCGTTCCAAGCTGTGGATGGGTTATTTTGACGAGGGCTCCACTCTTCCTTCTCCCTTTAACCTTATCATCAGCCCTAAATCTATCTACTACGCTGTCTGTTTTATCAAGGACCTGCTCAGTAGCTGCGTGCAGGACAAACAACATTTCCGTAGACCTAAGCGCCGTACCTCTGTGGGCAGTGTAAAGGTAGGGTAAACAATGTGATTAATGGTTTAGAATATTGGGACCCTCTCTAAGGTATGGTAACCAATGGGATTAACGGTTCAGAATATTGGGGTCCTATCTGAAGAAAGGGTAGCCATTGTGATTAACGGTTCAGAATATTGGGGTCCTTTCTGAAGTAGGGGTAGCCATTGTGATTAACGGTTCAGAATATTGGGGCCCTCTCTGAAGTAGGGGTAGCCATTGTTATTAATGGTTCAGAATATTGGGGCCCTCTCTGAAGTAGGGGTAGCCATAGCTGCAATAATGTAGCCCTCTCCTTTTTTTATGCCCCCCTTCAAAGAAGGGAGGGCATATTGCTTTGCTGCTGTCTGTCGGTCGGTCTGTCGGTTGGTCTGTCGGTCCACTTAGTTTCTGTTCATTTTCTTCTCAGCCGTTGCACATACTGAAATGAAATTTGGTATACAGATATATCACATGAATATCTAGGTCAAGTTCTGTTTTGGGTACGATCGCACCATTTTTGACAGAACATTTTTTAGCCAGAAGCTATCCATCATCAATGCTTGAACAAGCTATAGAGAAAGCCAGAAAGCACAACCGCAACAATCTGCTCACGGAGAATAAAAATAAAACACACGAAAAACGAGTAATTCCACTAGTTACAACATTCAACAGACTTAATCCAGAATTCAGATCAATTATCAATAAATACAAAACGATCTTAGAACAATCCCCAGATACAAAAGAATTGATGGAGAGAATAATCATAGTATATAAAAGACCTCCAAATTTAAGAAGTATCCTAGTCCATTCAAAGTTAAACTCCAGTCCTGAAAATATCGGAAGCCACCCATGTTATGAGAATTGTAAAATTTGCCCTTTCGTCAGTAATACTAATAGCATCCGAATTTCTTCCACTGGCAAAACTTATTACATAAAACAAAATCTTGATTGCAACAGTACTTCCGTCATTTATGCTATCACATGTAAAAAATGTTTTATTCAATACATTGGCCAAACAGGAAACTCCCTAAGAGAAAGGATGTATGGACATTTCGCCGATATGAAAGTCGCCAATCAACATGAATCTGTGTCTCGTCACTTTACGTCACAAACTAATACATCACAATCAGACACATCACAATCACACACTCCAGATGATGTTTCCATCACGCCGCTCGTGAAAATCAAAAACAATATAAACCAATGTCTACGAACGGAGGAAGCCTTTATACATATATTCAAAACTCTACATCCACAAGGATTGAATCTAAAATATGGTTAAGGTTAAATATACCAAGAGAAAACAGATGGATAATCCAGAGAAATCGGAAACAAACAAAATGGACTTCCAGTGTACCACATGCAACCGTAAATTCAAACAAGCCAGCAATCTTAAGAGGCATAACGAACTCCAACATAACCCAACTGTAACCTGATACTACTGTGATATTTGTAAAAAATCTTACTGTCGTAAAGATGTTGTTCAACACCATATCGCTAAAGAGCACCCAGATACGGAATTTAAAGAAACTTTAATATTCACCTGCACCAATCCTAGAGAAATGGCTGAAAAACCTAAAGAATGGAAACGCCCGTTTGAAAGCCGACCAAGATCCATGAAAAATCCAATCTTCTAATTTTACCAGCCAACAAACTACACGAACCCACGCAATCAACATCCACAGAAACCGTATGTCAAGATGAACTTCCACCAGGATTACAGAACAGATCGATCACAGTTCACGGAATTTATGGACTATTTAATTAATTATCTTAAAAAATATTCCATGCATTATATTGTAAATCATACTTAAGTTTTTATTTGACGATGTCAAAGTGTTAAAGAAGTTATATAATAATGTAAATCTAATCCGCATACTGGACAAATCTTCCGCATTTTCATAGCAACGTCATCCGCATACTGTATAATTCTTCCGCATTTCTAATTGTTAATAGTAACGTCATCCGCATTTTTGACTTCAGCAAAGAATATTTTTGTATAATTGTTCTGATGACGACCGTCTCTGGTCGAAACCGGTCAACCAAATAAATTTACATGTGCATTCTTACGAAGTGTTGGTGATCTGTTTATTCTAATTAAGTTTACTACTTTTGATCCAGACCCTATTGAATACCACGTGGTATCCACTCGTAAGAATCTTCCGCAATTTTAACCTCAAGGTGTTGGTCTCCAGCTTTAATTTTGTTTTGCATTTTTGACAGAGTTATGCCCCTTGGACTTGGAAAAATTTCAATTATTTGCAGTTTCCGTTCATTTTCTTCGCAACCATTGCACATATTGAAAAAATTAGCATACAGATTTATCAGAGAAATATCTATGTCAAGTTCTGTTTTGGGTACGATCGCACCATTTTTGACAGAGTTATGCCCCTTGGACGTAGAAAAATTTCAATTATTTGCAGTTTCTGTTCATTTTCTTTGCACCGTTGCACATACTGAAATGAAATTTGGTATACAAATATATCACATGAATATCTAGGTCAAGTTCTGTTTTTGGTACGATCGCGCCATTTTTGACAGAGTTATGCCCCTTGGACTTAGAAAAAAATTCCAATTATTTGCAGTTTCCGTTCATTTTCTTTGCAGAGGTTGCACATACTGAAATGAAATTTGATATACAGATTTATCAGATAAATATCTTGGTCAAGTTCTGTTTTGGAAACAATCGCACCATTTTTGACAGAGTTATGCCTTTTTGGATGTGGGAAAAATCCAATTTGGGGGGAGGGGGGCATAAGTGTTTTACAAACATCTCTTGTTTTTTTTGGGAGAGGGCTACAACTCCTTAGGATCTCCGTAATGGTGCAGAGCGGGAGGGATTCGCTCCCGCACGGATTTCGGCTTAAATTGTTAGTAAACAGCTATTTTATTTATGTCTTACCTGGACTTCCAAAATATAGTTATCCCAGACATAAATCGATCCAAAAATATACAGAACAATCCATATATCAGTATTTTTCGTGTATGTCAACATCACAACTTAAATTTATCCGCCATGTTTACTGACCTTGACAGATTTTATTTCGGGACAGCCAATGAGATTAAGGATCTATAGGGAGCGGATTTCTGTGGAATTGCCTTATTTTAAGCTTAAATATCGGTGTTTACAAAAAAATGAAACATGGAATGATTTTATTTATCGATGTTTAGTTTTACTATTCATCACAATTAATTATTTGCTTTATTGAATTGTTCTAAATTTCAAGCGCAAGTCTATCTATGTCACGCGTGAACTGTCATGGCTGCTGAATTAAATGCACAGATTTATTTTACATGGTTTTCACGTTGAACGAGCTTTGATGTCGACAGTGAATAAAAATTTCGTCTTATTAGAAGTAAGTTGATTGTGAAAACAATTTATTCTGCCTGCAGTCGCCAGTATTTACAAAATATTTTTGCACCATTACGGAGATGCTGTGGAATTGTAGCCCTCTCCAGAAATAACAGATAAAAAAAAATCGGAGAGGGCTACATTATTGCAGCTAGGGTAGCCATTGTGATTAACGGTTCAGAATATTGGGGTCCTATCTGAAGTAGGGGTAGCCATTGTGATTAACGGTTCAGAATATTGGGTCCTCTTTGAAGTAGGGGTAGCCATTGTGATTAACGGTTCAGAATATTGGGTCCTCTTTGAAGTAGGGGTAGCCATTGTGATTAACGGTTCAGAATATTGGGGCCCTCTTTGAAGTAGGGGTAGCCATTGTGATTAACGGTTCAGAATATTGGGGTCCTATCTGAAGTAGGGGTATAGCCATTGTGATTAACGGTTCAGAATATTGGGGCCCTCTTTGAGGTACATTTGAGCTGAGTGTAATCAATCTGTCATTTAAAGTGAGATTTTTTTTAGAAAATGATTAATCAACATAAAGCTTGTGCAAGTCTACAAATATTGACAGTATTTTAACTCATTTAGTAGAGTAAATATTCATTTGTTTGAAAAGAACTATATGCAGTATATTGCATATATTTGCCCCCACAAAAGTCAAATTTTGAAAACTTCCTGAAATGTGCTGAATTCAATAAATTGTATGAGAAATATAAATTAACAGAAAATATTATAGTGTCAAAGCAGTGTATTCACAATTTTTGTTTTTATGACGTCACAAACTAGTCCGATTTTATATCCTTTTTCAGAAAGAGGACAAAATGGACAAAATTTCAACAATTTTAGCTTTAAAATTTATAGAGCGCAAGTTTGTTCAGGAACAATATTGACATATTTCATTTATATTAACATTCTACACATTATATCAAAATATTGATCCTGAACACATATGCGCTTGGTGACTTTTACTCAAAATATCGACGAAATATGTACAATTTTCTGTAAAAATTTATTAAAAACTGAAATTTACGTCATGTTTGTGACGGCATGACGTACATATGGTGTCATTACTTATGATAATATTCAGTGCTTTGAAGTCGGCATATACTCCCCTGTTTAAGAACTTAATTAAATATATCTCCATCAAAGTCTGATTTGGGGGGCAAATATTGGTTATTACCGAATAAAGTTCTTTTGTTTTATTTTTTCCTCCCTCCCTCATGGGTTTTGAAGTTTATAGGTGATGTTAAACAAAAAATTAATTTACGCCAGCCTTAATGGTGATAACTTCGATTATATTTTTAGCTCTTCTGAGCCAAAGGCTCAAAGAGCTAATGCTATGGCCATTTGTGCGGTGTGCGGTGTGCGTTAACTTTTTAGAATATGGGCCATAACTCAAGAACCCCTTGGCCAATCGGTGTCAAATTTGTCACAGGGTATCCTTGGCCCAAGGGCTACCATTTATACTAAAATAAGGGTTCGGACCCTAAAACAAGGGGAGATAATCAGGAAAACACAACCAAAAGTACTGGTTGCTAAAAAATCTTCTTCTCCAGAACCACCAGGCAGATTTTCACCAAACTTACATACAAGGGTCAGGACATGTTGAAGATTAAAAATTGTTCAAGGCATGACCCTGGGGCAAAGGGCGTGGTCTCAAGGTCACTTCAAAGTTGACCTAATTTTACAATTAATAAAAATGTTTATATTTTGCTTACTATAAAGACTAGGATCATCAAATCTTGTAAGTTGATGCATCTTAGGACTTCACATCATGTTAACTCAAAAGTAGGTCACGGTGACCTACTTTTTTAATTTTGCGGGCATTTGTTTTCAAATTGATTTAAAGGCATATTTTGAACACTTTAAGGCCTATGATCATCAAACTTTGTCAGTTGATTGATCTTGGGTCCTTGAACAACGTCAACTTAAAAATAGGTCACCGTGACCTACTTTTTGAACTTTATGACCTATCCTTTTTAAAACATTTAATCCCATTATTTCAGACACTAAGAGGGTTAGAATCATCAAATCTTGTAAGTTGCTGCATCTTGGGACCTTAAAACATATTTAAGAAAAAGTAGGTCACTGTGACCTACTTTTAGAATTTTGCAGGCATTTGTTTTCAAATTGTTTATAAGGCATATTTTGATTACCTTCAGACCTATGATCATCAAACTTGGTCAGCAGATGCATCTTGGGACTCTGAAAAACGTCAACCAAAATGTAGGTCACAGTGACCTACTTTCGACATTTTATGTCTATATTTAAGTATCTTAGGTATTTATTGGCTTAGAATCATCAAACTTTGTGAGTTGATGCATCTTGGGTTTTCGGAGAGTGACAATCAAAAATTAGGTCACGGTGACCTACTTTCGACATTTTATGGCTATATTTATGTATCTCTGGTACTTATGGGTTTAGAATCGTCAAACTTTGTCAGTTGATGCATCTTGGGTTTTCGGAGAATGACGACCAAAAATTAGGTCACGGTGACCTACTTTCGACATTTTATGGCTATATTTAAGTATCTCCGGTACTTATTGGCTTAGAATCATCAAACTTAGTGAGTTGATGCATCTTGGGTTTTCGGAGAGTGACGACCAAAAAGTAGGTCATGGTGACCTACTTTTGACATTTTATGGCTATATTTATGTATCTCTGTTACTTATAGGTTTAGAATCATCAAAGTTTGTTAGTTGATGCCTCTTGGGTTTTCAGAGAAGGTCGACCAAAAAATAGGTCATGGTGACCTACTTTTGAATATCTCAGGTATTTAGTGGCTTAGAATTATCAAACTTGGTCAGCAGATGCATCTTGGGACTCTGAAAAATGTTGACTAAAATGTAGGTCACGATGACCTACTTTTGACATTTTATGGCTATATTTAAGTATCTTAGGTAGTTATTGGCTTAGAATAATCAAACTTTTTCAGTTGATGCATTTTTGGTTTTCCAAGAATGTAGACCAAAAAGGAAGTCAAGGTGACCTACTTTTGAATATCTCAAATACTTAATTGCTTAGAATATTCAATCTTAGTTTGTCTATTAATGCATCTTGAGTCCTCAGAAAACTTCAATCTTAAAGTAGGTCACAGTGACCTACTCATGGTTTTTTATAGCTTTATTAAAATATCTTCAGTCCTATTAGCTTAGAATCATCAAACTTTGTCAGTTGATGCAACTTGGGTCTTAGGATACTTAGGGTTAGAGGCTTCAAATACAAGTGATAGGTTGTACAATTTATCAGAAGAGCGATTCAAGGCCCTTGGGCCTCTTGTTTTTTTCTAAATATTTTTGCCTTTGGGAAAGAAACAGGTTTTCTAAAACCAATTATCATTTTACACACCTTTTCAATGTTTGTTCAATTATACACAATTTGTTTTGTTTTTTTTTATCCAAATCAAAACATGCTCATATATCAATGTTCATTTCACCTGCTGTTTTATATTAATTAACATTACAGGAAGAATGGGAGAAAATGACACCAGGGATTAATATGACATAAACATTTACTTCATATAACAATTCTGTTAGACATCTTTTTTTTTAAACTTTTGATGGGTCATCTTTTCTTAAGGAAATTGATAAACACCTTAGGGTAAGAAATTACATAACAGAGTTCATTACAAGTTCAGTGCGAGCTTACATAAAATTAATAAGTCATTTTTATATGGCTCGCTCTAAATGAAGAGATGTAAGGTAGCTTGTTGTTTTGTTGTCGTAAGGGCAACTGAGACAGTTTGACATTAAAAAGAAATGTTTTCACGAGAAGAGTGTCCTAAGGACAAATTTCTTTATGTTCTTTAAAGATCACAAGAAAATGAGAAAAAATATTATGTTAGCCTTCATCTCTTTAATATTTTTTTTTTTTTTGGTTTGTGTAATTTTTCATTTGATTTTCTGTACATTGACAGTGTAGTGTATAAGTCATTATAATATATTATGTTAGCCTTCATCTCTTCAATTATCATTCTTATGTTTTGTTTATGTAATTTATCATTTGATTTTTCTCTATATTGACAGTGTAGTGTATAAGTCTTTATAATATAAATAGAAGACAGATCATTGGCTAGTATTTATAATAAATACAGCCATAGCTAGTTATATCTGACAAGATCCAAAGCATCATTTGATCACTTCATTTGACATTTATTTGATAGATACCATTTTGGCCTTGGACATATAAAAAACGAAGAACAACTGGTAGTATAAAAAAAATAATGAGCAAGGTTTTGTATGTACTGCTAGAGTACAACTTCTGTTCCCAAATGTGCAATTGTTATTATACCCCCGCTCCGAAGGAGAGGGGGGTTATACTGTTTTACCCTTGTGTGTCTGTCTGTCTGTCTGTCTGTGTGTTTGTCCGTAACAAATTTTCGTCGCAGTTTTCTCAGCAACTACTCCTTGTGTGTCTGTCTGTCTAGCTGTCCGTCTGTCTGTGTGTCTGTCCGTAACAAATTTTCATCGCAGTTTTCTCAGCAACTACTACAACTAGATGCTTCAAATTTTAACACAATCTTCTCTGAGGCCATATGGTGGGATACATTTTTGTTCAAATATGATGTCAACTTCCTGTTTGTCTGTGCGTCTGTCCATTTCATACATAACAAATTTTCGTTGCAGTTTTCTCAGCAACTACTCATCGCAGATGCTTGAAATTTTAACACAATCTTCTCTTAGGCATGCCATACGATGGGATACATTTTTGTTAAAATCCGATGTCAACTTCCTGTTTGTCTATGCGTCTGTCCGTTTCATACATAACAAATTTCCATTGCAGTTTCTCATTAACTATTCATTGTAGATACTTGAAATTTTAGTACACTCTTTGTTGAGGCATGCCATATGGTGGGATTAATTTTGATGTCAACTTCATATTTTTCTGTGCATCTGCCTGTAATTGAACTTGAGTATATTAACATAATAGTGTTTATTTACATCAGAGCAGGGGTATTACTAGTGAGCATTGGCTCACAGATTTCTTGTTAAATAAGCTTTTCTGATTATTATGAAAACATGTCTCTTTTTTTGTCGGGGGGGGGGGGGGGGGGGCACTCAAAGTGATTTTTTTTTTACATAATGAATGGTTAAGGGGGATATTTTCTCTTCAGTTTCAAATAATATCCTCTCCAAAAAATTCCTTAGATATCATATACAGAGTTGCTTGATGGAGTTTTCATGTTATTTCACTCAGGATTCTACTTTATAGCACCCTACCAATTGTCTAAATTCCTGGAGATAAAAATATAATATATACACATAATCATAATTTAAAGATATTTATCTATTGTTTTTCACTTTCAGCCTGTTCCAAGTCCAGTGCCTAGAAGAGAATTTATGGACATAAACTCGGTAAGTTAACAAACAAGACAGAAACACTGGTAATTAATTAAAAGGGGTTGACTCAAGTTCATCTTGAAAAACCTAGTACATGTATTACATTTAAACTTATTTTCAGAAAGGAGCAGTGCAGATCTCAACCAGAATAAATATTCATTCTGAAAAACCACCAACAGAGGTGAGTATTAATTTGTCTAGAATTAGAATAAAAAGAGCTGGCAAAAATGTTCATTGTATTCACAGCAGCATGCATACTGTAGGAACATCTTTTGTGTTAATCATCAAATTAAAAATGGCATTATGAAAGAAAATGTGGTATTTAAAAAAAAAATGCATATTATAGCTTAAACAGTACAGTGTGCTGTTAGGTCACCTTAGTCACTCAGATGACCTTTATTTATTTCTTTTCATTCATCAGTATTTGAACATTTTCAGCTTTTCTCTGAAACTGCTGAACCAATGTAAAAAAAAAATTGGTATATAGAATCAATTCCAATACACACAGTGTTTAAAAAAACCTGTAAATTGAATATTTAAAAAAAGAATGAATTTTAGATGGTTATCATCATTCCAATTAATGCACAATTGATTCAACAATTCTTTGGTATGTGTATAGACATGTAGAAAATTAATTATCCCTGCCCAATGAAGAAGTTATGTTGTTAGAATTGTCTTTTGGAAAATACCTCAAAGATCTCAAGGATTTCATGACATATTCAGAGAAAAATGTGTCCTTGTTTAGAAGGAAGTGATTAAAGTTTTACATGGGTGTGCATAAGGGTGTGGGCTTTTGAACAACATGGGCAATCTGGCTGTCATTACCAAATAGATGTCTTAATGCACAGCCAAGTCTCTTCTTTAAAGACTACAAAAACATTTTTTCCAAACCTTTTTTTTTAATGCATGTTTTTAATTAAAAATTGTTATTAATTACAATAATGTAGAGTTGCATTATGTAATTTAACTTTCAAGTCAAAATCTGCTTTTTTGTAGTAGGTTGTCTCAATAATTTATATTCTTTGTCTGCTATTTTGTCATTTTAATTTGTTAAATTATTTTTAAGGAAAAATTAATTTGAAATGCCAAAAAATCTGTACTTTGAGGTTCAAAGAAAAAAATTAATTGGACCATTTGTTATAAATTGAGGCCCTTTGTTTTGCCAGGAACCAAAAAGAACCATGATGATTTGTTGTAAATTTCAAAAAATATTGATAAACTATAGTTACTTGAAATTTCTTTCAGGTGAAGTACCGCCCCCCTTTGAGTGCTCAGACCAGTGTCCGATCTAATGAAGAGAAGCATTACCAGGTAATGATGTTATATGTCTTATCATCAGACTGGACTGATAGCTCATGCCCGGAGGGGGTATTAACCTTGACCGTGGGTTCCTTTTTTTTTTAAGAAGGCCAGTAGCAGTTAAAGTCTGGTACTTTCAATTAAATCTCTACAGAATACTCAAGTTTAATAAACTTGACCCAGGGAACTAGGTTTAGGTACTGTTTATGTTTGCACTGAAATATTTTATCATTCATTTTTACACCCCTTTCCCTTCCTATGGTAAGTCCCATATCTACCTCCAGAGTGAGACTGTTGGTCATACATGTATAGTGAAATCTTGGTATAATGTATACTTTACCAGTACTCTCTTTTCTTCTAACTTTCTAAAAGACAATCTGCATGAATATTGTTATCATTATAGAGTTATTTTATTGAAATGGGCCAGGATTATGCAGTTCGAGGTAGAGTGAAAATGGTTATAGTCTGAGAAATCTATGCTTTACAGGGGACAGCCTAGGCCCACGGGCTTCTGGCATATAGATCAAAATCAATATATTTAAAAAATTGAAGTCTTGCTATGTTTATCCTAGGACATAATGCGGCGACTGGTCAGTCGATACATTCATCAGTTTAAGAAGGACAAACAGTTGGATGGAGTAAATGAAGATGACTTGCTGGAAATCAAACAGGACATCTCCAGTTTGAGGTAACGTCAAGTATGTACCCCCAGAGACTGATAATCAATAGTCACTGTGTCAAGACTTAATGCAATTGTGTCCTACATGTAGATAAGGCTGTCCCTAAAGGTACTGACCGGGCTTTTCAAGATTTACTATGTTTCTTGAAGAATACAGTAAAACTTGTTTAGTACGAACACGGATATAGCGAAGTTTTTGTGGGTTCCCGGCAAAATTATTAACAAATCTTTGTAAAATATTATGGTTATAACAAACTCTGATACTGTAAACCGAGAAAATTTGGCGCATACATATTTTAGCGCAAACGCAAGTGGGAATGCATTGGCGCAAATAATTTTAGCGCTTGCACTTGTCAGTAAAAATGTGATATTTTGTTGTTTTTTTTTATCCACACCCGTATTTGACTTTTTAGTTAGTCAAGCACGGAAACACATTAGTACTCCCGTATATCAGTAAACATTCATTGACTTTACCGCGGTACGTGTTGCTATCACATGGACGTGGTACAATGTTAAAATTTATTATATTTCTATTTTCAATTAAAAGAAATGGAGTATTCACTCATTTAAATCACATTAAAATAATGCATGCATCGACAGAAAATTACTTAGATAAAACAGTAATCCTAATCAGGTATTTTCTGCAAGCTAAATCACCGTGCTTGATTGCATTGTTTTCCTTGAGGCGATAGATGATTGACACGCCGAGAAGCCAAACTTTGAAGGTGCTAATGATAATTATCGGGTAACAACTACCGGGGTAACAATAGTTTAATTAAATTATAATTTGGCACAACTTTCTGTCTTCTGAACATGTGCAGTGCTAGTGTGTATAAAATCCAATGACCCTTCGACATTACGTTCCAGATTATATGTACTTATGTAAAAGCTTTGAACACACACAGAAATGATATTTAGAAATCCTTTAGTGCACAATAAATTTTAGCGCTCAGGGGCTCTTGCGCCAAAGGCGCTAAAATTAGTAGTGCGCCAAATATTCTCGTTTTACAGTATAACGAATTTACGGATATAGCGAACTGATTTTGAGTCCCGTTAAAGTTAGTTATAATGATATTTACATCTTTTATAACGAACTCTCAGAGATTATTTAAAAAAATGATAAACTGATCTAACCTTATTTCCTTTTAGCATTTGAATATAAAATTCAATTCATAATAAAACCTTAGTTATTGAAGATATGTTTAGTAATATTTGCTTCCCTAACATATTTAGTAGTAATAATTGAAGGAAAGGATGCATATTGCGAATTCGCTGTAATGGTTATAGGAATTCATTATACGGATATAACGAATTACGGATATAGCGAATTAAATTCATAGGTCCCAAGGACTTCGCTATAACTGAGTTTTACTGTAGTGAACTATTTTTAAGTAAATTTTAAAAATAAAAGGTGTGCAGTCAAATTTGTTGACATTGAAATTTAACGAACCTTGAGATTTATTTCAAGTGAACCTAATAACAGTTTATCCTTGTACCATGACTTATATATAAGATGTAGATACGAATTAAAACGTTGATTCCAAAAGTTTAAATTTTTTTTACAGATATGAATTGAGAGAAGATCGTAAAAGGGAATCCTACCAGGCAGCCAACCTGCTACAGAGCACAAAACAGGAAATCATCTCACTCATACAGAAGTTTAACATGACTGTTCACCCCCTACAATCAGGGACAGGTCAAGGTCAAAGCCCACTGAATGTCCCCACAGACAAAGTTCAGACAAGTGACAGGGGTCAAGTGTTAACATCCAATGACCTTGAACAGTTAAAGGAGGACATTATCAGTGGAATTTGTTCCAGGTTACATGATAATATACAGACATTTCAGGGAATGGAAAGACTGCCCTCTATTGATTCAGATCTCTACACAACCCATCTCTACACACAACTGTAATAATGTAATGCAGGCTGTGTATAAATCTCTACACACAAGTGTAATGTAATGCAGACTGTTTACAGATCTCCAGACACAACTGTTATGTAATGCAGGAAGATTATACATCTCTACACACAAGTGTAATGAAAAACAGAATGTGTATACATCTCTACTCACAAGTGTAATGAAAAACAGAATGTGTATACATCTCTACACACAAGTGTAATGAAAAACAGAATGTGTATACATCTCTACACACAAGTGTAATGTAATACAGGCTGTGTATATATCTCTTCACACAACTGTTATTTAATTCAGACTGTTTATACATATCTAGACACAACTGTTATGTAATTCAGACTGTGTATACATCTCTGACTACACACAACTGTATTGTAATACAGGCCATGTATACATCTCTACACACAACTGTAATGTAATGCAAGCATTGTATACATCTCTACAAACAACTGTATTGTAATGCAAGCCAAGTTGGTCTACTACATACATCTGTACACACAACTGTATTGTAATACAGGCCATGTATACATCTCTACACACAACTGTATTGTAATACAGACTGTGTATACATCTCTACACACAACTGTAATGTAATGCAGACTGTGTATACATCTCTACACACAACTGTATTGTAATACAGGTTGTGTATACATCTCTACACACAAGTGTAATGTAATGCAGGCAGTGTATACATCTCTACACACAACTGTTATGTAATACAGGTTGTGTATACATCTCTACACACAACTGTAATGTAATGCAGACTGTGTACACAACTGTTATGTAATCAGAATGATTGTAAATCTACATACAACTGAAATGTAATGCAGATGATCATACATCTTAACACACCAGAAGAATCCATGTTTTCAGTAAATGAAATTAATTGTTTTGTTAAAAACAAAACACACACACACACAAATCTTCGAGACTTTTTTGATTTAGGAACAAATAAATATAGTATATACTAGAGACATAAAAGCTGTTTTTTTTTATTCACAATTAGTAATTGATGCATTTATATAAAATACCAACATTGACATATCATATTTGTTTTATGTTTGTAAATGAAAACCCCGCCATACTGTGTTGATTTGCATTGTTAGATATTGTTATTTGTTTAAATAATGTGCCATGCAATGTTGTTCATGTACTGATAGCTGACTATCAGCAACAATTTTGTTTTTATTTCTTTGGTGTTCATTGTAGCAATTTTCAGTTCAGTCTTCGGTGACAAGAATTTGATATTTTTACTTATTTTTTTTCTACTTATGTTCATGTACATCTGTTAGGCAACAAATATATGTTGCTGTTTTTTTTAACTGAATAAAATTATTAAAACATCACAAAATGAAGTCTGTTTTCCAAGAAAGGATGGGTTTAAATCAGTTTATGTCACCTGCCTCGCTACCTGCCAAATTAACAAGGAATATTGTTAAATAAGAAATGTTACGATATTTAGATTTGTCAAATTTGTAATTTGTTTAAACTTAATGTTACAGACAAGGCACTTTATTAACATTTAAAGTTTTATATGTGATTCCATACCGTATTTCCCTTGATTTGGGATAAAATTACGCAGGATTTGTTTATAATTTTCTCTATTCAGCCATGTTGCTTTGAAATTTTTGGACTTGACGTTAGAAATGCCATCGATGAAGCGATCCCCGTCGTTTGTTTCATCTAGCCAGAGATGACACATCTACAGTAATAAGTCGTATCAATAAATAACAAGCTGTACATGTACTTTCAAATGGAATAATATGCGGGGTTTTTTTAACTGCATTGATATCTTTTAAAATAATTGATGTCAATATTGACATTATCAGAAATAAATTTTGGACAATGTCCCGAATTTAAGAAAAGTGTATTTCCAAAGAATCCGATAAGATTGGTTGGGAATGCTTTGCAATCCTTAAGATGCTATATAAAAGTTGTATTTTGTTTAAATACCTGAAAACCAACTGGACTTTGGTCGGTAATATCGATAAAGTCCAGATCGTTATCCACCCACACCTCGATCCGCCCTCGGTCTATCAAGAAAACTCTACTCACCATGTGTAGCGAAAAAGAATCGAATCCAGTATCATCTAATGTCAAAGAACGCATTGATAATTTATGTGTTAATAAGAAAATAAGTAGAGCTGAATCTTATAAATTACAATTAATTCTCAAAATGAATTGTAAAGGGCTAAAGTTAAAGTAAAAAAAACTTACCAAAGAGAAGTGTTGCGACTTTCCGATTCTGCAGCTTGTGTTTGTGGAGATCAAGTTGTGTTATTTTCTTGCCGTGGAAAGTAACTTTAATGGTCTTTGTTTTATGCTTCCTCTTACGCGAGACTACAAATTGAAAGGTGGACGACGGACGATCACAAACAGTGGTTACCGGAATCATCTGTACGGAATCTGGCTTGTTGGGGCCTGATGGTTGGAAATCCCAAAGACACTCCGTGAAGACACGCCTAGGGGGGTCTCTATGCAGCCAACTCTTGAACGATCGGAATTTTGACAGAATTACGTATCCAGGGCCACACGGGCATTTTGAGGTTTGAAAGCTGGGTACTGGGGTCACATATTCACCTGTTAAAAATTATGAAATGATAAACTTAGTGTTCAAGCATGCTTCTATCTAATGTAGTATATCTAACAAAGTTTATCATAGTTATATAACTATAGTCATATAATTAACTATAGTAAATACTTTAATTTACTTTGAAAATTTACGCTAGAATTTTTTTTGTTTTGCAGATGAGCTCTATTTTTTAGATGACACAATATTTTATTTTAATCTTTCTAATTAACATTCTAATATACAATTAAACTTCTTTTCATAGAAAAAAAGTGCTTGTATGAATTTAAACAAATGAATACCACGAATTTCATAGGAAAATTACTTTGATACTAAATTGAAACTGCTTTACTTCAGTGAAAGCTTTTCTTCTATAGTTAACAATAGTACCTTTTGTTAGAGAATTGAAATAGATACCTGTGAATTTTTTAAGAACCTCTTCACCAATTAATCTCCAAGACAACCTCACATCCGCCAACTGAAGTTTATCAAAAACTTTCTTTTTCATGCGCATTTTTGGCGTGTTGTGTCGAAAATGACTGTCATGACGTACGTCATAATGAAAATTATCTCAGCTGACGTCACAATAACCCATCATAATCAGTTACGTCATAATCAAAACAATTTAAAAGCGATGGAAACAATGGATCCCTTTCTTTATAAAGAACTTAAAAATTGCGATGCTAAGCGATGTTGGGCATTGGTAAAAAATGTCATCGGCGTCCAGTTACTCGGTAAGTTTTCCTCCTTCTATTTGTATCCTTATTTCATTTTTCCTCCGTATTTGCCTTTGTACTGACATGTTCAACACAGGTGTGACAAAGCGAGAATTCCTTAATCCGCACAATGTTTTTTACAGACAAATAGTTCGGTATATAAATAATCTTTAACCTTTCTATAGATGATGATGTAATTATGATACCTTTCCTCCCGGAGGGTAAGTTTTACGATCTGGGGCGAGTCATAGTGAAAGAAGAAAGGTCTCCAATGCAGAAATTGGCGCGGATCCCACCAGGAGCATTAGCTATTGGAAAGCTTACCGATTTCGTTAAGGACGAAGTTATTCATGGTGCCTTCAACAGACTCAGTGAAATGCAGAAAGTGGAAACAACACACAACCCACGTTACGTGTTCGAAGAGTCTGATATGAAACATGGTGTCAAAAAAACAGTTCGAGTAGAAATACTTGGTACCGATCATTACGCGTTGTGGAGCCTGCCGGAGAACAACAGTTTGGTGGTAGATTTCGATAACAGAGGTATGCAATGCACCAACGTTAAGATTATGAGTACTAAAATATGTATTATCGGGTAAAATTTGGTCCCAAAAACATTTAAACATCGAATCTTACGGCTTCGCAACACATTCGTAATTCGAAGACGAAAACAAATGGGTTTCGGAATGTTATCTTTATCACGGATTGTTGGGAATTTTTTATTTATAGCTGTATGAATGGTTTAAATTAGTGGTCAGTCTGTCCGAATATAAATCATTAAAATTTCAAAGTCCATTACTTAGTTTTCTGGATAGCTTTGTATATTGCGTCATCGGAACGGCATTAACTGGTTAAAGAATAATTTTATAAATTATTTTTTTTTTTCTAATTTATAAGATATGGAATTTCAAATTGACGTTGATTTTAAACCCCATGATCTTCATCGTTAAAATGTAACCCAATTAAAAAAAAAGTTAGTAATATAACTGATAAATGTTAGAAGAAAGAAGACCGGGAAATTATATTTTACATGTGCATTTCAATGTGCCATCGGTGCCATAAATATAAATGGCTTCCCAAAAACATGCATTTTGACATGAATTATTTTTTTGCTGGTTTTTTTTTTTTTTTTTTTTTTTTTTTATTTAGTAGAAATATGAACGGGCGATGTAAAGGGAGTTGTCACTGAAGTTTATGAATAATTAAAAACTTTTAAAATTTCACATCCACTGTCTTTGAGTTAGAATACATGATCTGCTTTGTCATATGTTGGCGATTTCAAAAAACTTGCAAATCGTAAATTTGCGTGTTCAGACCATAAAAGTGTCGTAAAACTGCATAGATGTGGGAACTTAAATGTGTTAAACATAATCACAAGTTTTAATAAAAGAAACACTGTACACCTTTCTTTGTGAGACAAGTCGGTTAGTGATTTAGCGAATTCATTCACATAATGTTCTTTTTTTCAAGCGCTGCATATTTCCTCTTTTTCTTGCTAAAAGCACTTGTTTACAGGGGAAAGGGCTTCATGTCAACATGTGTATGGATCTTGTTAACTTTAATGGTATTCCCCTTTTCTGGAGCGAATTTAAACTCGTTAACATTTAATTTTAGTACTCGCTGATATTTTTGCAGGGTTTCCGTATGTGAAGAAGTTTTACCTCCTATACGATGTGTTTTATGCCCGACAAATCAATGTGTATGTCCGAATAAACGACGAAGTGGATGAGTTTTGTATAAGGGAGAGAACCCCCATTGGATTTCGGCTGAAACGATACAAGATCCAAACAAATGGCTTGATAGGCCCAGTGAAGGATATCTCCAACAAAAAATGGAACGTCCACTGGATTAAGAACACCATGTTTAGAAATCCCATGGACGCCCTTCCAAATGTTCCCAACAGCGGTATGTGTGCCACTAGCATGTGGTGTAAAATCTGCTATACTAGTAACATTAATTTGTTAAGTAGACAATTTTTTTTTATCAAGGTGTATTAAGGAACACTTTTGTTTTTATTTTCGTTACAGGACGCAGTCGGTGATCTTTTTCCTGTTCGTTGGATCCAAATTGGTCTCGGGGAATATGCGTTACATCTCCAATATGTGAAATCTTAATTTTCATTAATAGACACGTCATCATTGTAAAATTGCATCCATTCTTCAGAAAAATAAATTATAAAGTTGTTTTTTCCTCTTTAATTTTATTCTTTCGAGACATCATTGCCAGAACTTTGTTCATACCCTTTGAAAATCAGATTCAACAGTCCAAACTCTGGCGCTTTATATACATG